TGAGCATGGCACGTGATTTGCATCATCTCGTCTCTACAACCAGTAACACCACCTACCACCCCATATATATATATATATATATATGCAAGAACTTTTCTACCTTGAGCTAGACAGAGTAACGGCTATTATCCATTTATAATATGATGTTTAATTAACTATAACTAATGAGGTTGAAGATGATTGATTCAATGGATTACATTTATAAATGAATATGATTTCTCATTCTCGATTAACCCACTAGAAAGCAGATACGTATGTTTAGAAAAATTGACATGTACATCTTGCACATTTGAACGGATCACGGGAAATGAAATGCTATTTCATTAGTTGAATTATGAAATTTAGGGTTATTAATAGAAAAACAAAGCGGACTACGAATATTCTATATCATATATGTGACTTGATGTTGCCAATTATACTTTCTATAGAAGCCCTAATTAAATCTGATTAAGACTGTGAGAGAAAAATCAATGATTTTCAATTTCTTCATTATCCAAATTTTCAATGATTAACATTAAAAATTTAAAACTAACGTTGGCTTCGATGTCGTTTTAATATCAGCAAACATGATAGCTACCAATACCAATATTGAAAAACATACACCTAGTTAGATTTGGGTTATCAATAATAGAGCTGGTTAAAATATCGAAATAAATAATTTCGATAATTGAAAAATACATTATATTAACTTATTTTAAATTAATTGGCTGCAATGTCGTGAATTTGAGTTGGTAGTAGTAATTTTAGAATATCTTGACAGCATGTGACAAATATTTAAAAGATCTTAATATATACAAATAATTTGGTTACTTTAACTAGCTAGGGTATTGTTAGGTAAGATGTTAGTTCGTACTGAGATGGTCTATAACCCTAACATCTAGTTTAGAAAAAAACATAAAGTTGGTTCAACACCCCCTATAATAAAAATTTTTTTATGAATTGAGTTGGCCTATTATTACAAGGATAAGATTTTGAATTTGAAAATGTGTTTGATAAAATTATTTTTTAATCCCTTATATTTGTTAATTTAGTTAAACACCCCCTATAATAAAAATTTTAAAGTTAATAAAAATACATCCACCCACCTATTAAATGCCGACAATGGTGGCCGACTACCGAGAATATGTGAATGGGTGGAGGTATTTTTTTCAATTTATAAACTTTTATTATTGAGGGTGTTTAGTTAAATTAACAAACCTAAGAGGTTAAAAAAATCTAAATATTTTGAGTGGAATAAAATATGATTGTAAATAGTGAAATAAACATATATTTTGAATAGGATACTAAAAGAATAGGGAAACAAACACATTATAATGAGTGTGATTGTTTCCCTATTTTTGTCTTATCATATTCCTATTATTTTCAAAATACACATTTGTTTCCCTATTCTGAAAATACTATTATATTATATTTAATTATTTTTAAACCCCCTACCTTTGTTAATTTAAATAAACACCCCCCAAAAAAGTTTAAAAATTGACAAAAACACCCTCACCCACCCACATTTGCCAAATTCTGGCCACCACTGCTGGAAGGTGGTCGGAATTTGGTATAATGGAGTATTACCGATTGGATTTGGCTAATAATACGTCGATATAGCTTTTTCCGACCAAATCTACCACCAGAGATTTGGCCGTTGACAGCCAAATCTTTGGCTGTAGCTAGTTGTCAACGATGGCCAAATCTATAGCCATATCTTTGGTTGTTGTATGTGGCCAGATCTGGTCATTAATGGCCAGATTTATCCGCAGATCTGACCTTTTCGGGTTAGATCCATAGTGATTCTGGCTAGAAAATGCCATCTCAGTGCACAACCGGTCAAATCTAGCCGGTTGTGCACCGATATGGCTACTCCGGCCACCTTCCGGTGGTGGTGGCCGGCTGTCGGTATTTAATGGGTTGGTAGAGGTGTTTTTGTAATTTTTAATGTTTTTATTACAACGGTGTTTAGTAAATTAACAAACATAGGAGATGTTTTTGCTGCTTTCAATCTCCCTTGTTTATAACACCCTTACTTTCAAAAATCTATCAAAATACTAAAACAAACGCACCCATTATATAATTCAATTAAAAAAAAAGTGAATGACGTTAATCCTAAAGTATGTTAAAATAAAAAAAAAAACCCTTAAATTTTGAAAATAACATAAATCTCTTAACGGTAAAATGGTAATTTGATAATATTTATTAATTCATAATAGTATATTTTAACAATTTACTAATGGATAATTTTGTTAATTAGAAAATATTAGGGATATTTTTGTCATGCTATCCTATCCTAAGAGGGTCTAGTCTTTGCATTAAAAAAGGCAAAAAACAAAAAAAAAACACCCACTAGAGAGAAATTGTCAACTGCCACAAGGCACGCCCAATGGAAACCTAACCGGAATCCACGCGCAACTAAGCATTTGGCACCCAACACACACGTGCCTGGGATGGTGTTAGGTTTAGCGTTTAGGTTATATTTCTTTATTTTCGTCGTCGTCATCAGCAAACTTGTCATTTGGTTCAATTAGTTATAACCAGTGATGTTTGTATCAAAAGAAAAAATTATTCATCTGGAAGATGCCAAAATATGAAAAATAACTATAATATGTTTGGTTCCCTATTAAAACAACAAATAGGGAAACAATCACACTCAATTTATGATTAATTAGATTGTTGTTAAAGTAGAAGGGGTGACTGGTGCGTCAATCTCATGCGTCCTACTCTCACCAACCACGGCCCCAATTTGGTATTCTTATCATGTACACAACTAGATGGTTGAAAGCAAAGTTGGGTGTTTCTCTCTTTTGTGGCAATTGATTTGACATTTTTATTTGATTCTATGATGATATTAGTGTAATAATTTGTCACTTACATGAATAATTCAAAAAAAAAAAAAAAAAAAAAAAAAGTTTTATAAATTGATTTGATGAGATTATTTCATATATATTAATTCTCATATTCAGTCACTTTGTATCGATTTGTAACATATTATGTTATTATTAATAAGATACATTACATTTTTCAAAATCATAGTGTATATTATTAATTTATATACATGTTCGATTTATTATTAGTTCCATTTTATGCTTAAATTTGAAAGGCGTTCCTTGCATTTGTAGGTGCATAGAGTTAAGGACTCCACACATGGATATTTGAGGGAAAATACTTACATATTTTTTTTTTTTTAATTCTTGAATTTTAAATTGACCATTGATTGCCAAATATATCCTTGTGAAACTCTATGATTCGATCCATATTAAAAAAAAAAAAAATCCTATTAATGTGAAGAGATTGTTTTAATTTGGATTTTATTGTATTTTTCCTTGCTGTGTCAATATTATTTTATTTTATAATTACTATTTAGGTTACTTTACTTGATTAAGAGTTGTTTGATCATATCTGTCACATTTATTATTCTAAATGTTAATAATATTAGTTTTTTTTTTATTATATGTTTCTAGTATTGATAATAAGTTATAAAATTTAAAATCTTAGTTTTTCAACACTTAATATATAATTATCCTAAAATTTGATAATAAGCTTGGATGAATCTAAAACTTATCATTTATATAATGTTTTTGTTAAAGACTTAAGAAATTGACAAAGAATATGTTTCTATAATAAGTATATAATATATTTGTATATACTTCAAAAAAAAAAAAGAAGGCATTTCTGTAATTTCATTCTATTTCAGGGGCTTGGACACGAAAATTAATCATTTTTTTGGGTTTTTATGGAATTCACGAATGGTAGTGGGTAGATCCACGGCAATACAACTGGACATGTCAAAATCACAACTTAAACAAGAATATCAAAATCTACAAAATAATAATATAATAATACAGGACAGCAAACTTCCACGTGTCAGTAGCGCAGCATTTGAAAAACTCTTCATTTGGTGAGTTGGAACTTGATTTTATTTAATAATATTAAAATAATTCAAACTGTAAAAGCCAGGACGGTTAATATTTTCCTTCAAAGTTTACAATATATATTTTGTCTAAATGGAATGATGATTCTACGTAAATGATAAATTATACTTTTGTAGAAAATGAGTTGAAAAGAAAGAGAAAAAGAGAGAAGAAAGAGGGAAGAGAGAAGATAGAAAAAGGAGGGAAAAGAGAAAAAAGATGGAGAAAAAGAGTAACGAAGGAGGGGAGGAAAGAAAGAATAAAGAGGAGAAGAGAAAGAATGAGGGATTTGGGGTTATATTTGTCGGTTTGGTAAGTTTGCGAACTACCCGAGCCGAATAATGGAAGCTTGAACTACTCAGCTTGACACACGAGCGCTCAGACTCAAGCTCGAGCTACTCACAGTGGTAGGCTCGCTTGACACCTCATATAGAGTGTTATCATAATGTTATATTTTTTTAAATTAAGATGATAATTTAGAATATTATTATATCAATTATAAGAAGATGCTAATTAAAGATTCTATTTACAATTATTTATATTTTCTAATAAAAGTAATCGACAAGAATATTCAGGTTTTTGCGTGAATACCGTAAAAGTTTGATGAAAGAACAAAAAATCTCACAGGTTTTAGAATGAAACACTTGTATCCTTATAGTTTGAGAATGAAATATTTACACCTTGTGGTTGAGTGATGTTTGAAAAAATAACTATTCGATCAAAATGTGACAATGTCATTTATTAGTTTTCTTTTATTTTTAGGAGGAAGGACAAAATAAGGGTATTTTAGTCTTTGTATAAATTTTTTTTGTCCGAATTAACTTTTTATGAAGTGATTGTCAATTATAAGGGTATAAGTGTTTCATTCCGAAACCTGTGGGTCTGCCAAGTTTATATTAAAACACAGGGGCGTCCATAAAAAGCCTCCAAGAATGTGGTAGGCAAGACAGTGACGTGTAAGCCCGATACTGGTTCAACATTATATTAATAGTTAACATTTAACGAATTTTAAATTAAAATTCTTAAAATAAAAAATTAATTCCACGTCAGAAATAAGTGTAAATAATTAGGAAAAAGAGGGTTGTTAACTTGTTATAAATCTAAAACAGAAAGAAAAGTTGTTCCCTCTCGCTCTCAGTGCCTCACATGTATCCTTTTGGCGCTAACGTTTCACGTTTCTCTTCTTTTCTCCGGTATGAATTTCCGTTTCTTTTCTTTTCTTTTTCCTTTTTCTTTTTCTCGGCAACCAAACAGAAAATTCCGAGCAAACTTTTTCTTTTTTTCTTTTTATAAATAATAAAATGTACGAATCGTTTGTATTGACTCGAATGTTAAGCTTTTTAAAGTTTTCTTTTCTCCGTTTTCGAAATATTCTTAGAAATGGAGCTGGAGAAATTAAAGTTTCCAGACGTTGAATGCATTTGTTTTATTTATTTGTCTTTTATGGAGATTTCGAGGTTTTATTTATTTTCTTGCAGTTTTTTCTCACCAACCAAACAGAGCATGAAACAACAATTGTTTTTTTATTTTTGATTTTTAACTTTTTGACTTTGTGGATCCTGATTGATTCATTAATTAATTGACACGTGTAGTTGAAGTGACGATCTATATATGTTGCAGCGTGGCGGTAACCGAGGCTTCTTCTTTCACGAGAAACTTGTAATATCGGACTCGTTGTTTTGTTTTGACTGAAAACAAGAAACGATGAAGGCAATGTGTGGTTCAGTTCTGCAATTTAATGCAGCTGTTAACTTGGAGAAACCAAAGGTTCTTGTATTTAATAAAAAATGGAAGAAAGAAGACGGTCTACTGGTGGCGAATTTGAATTCGAAAAGCCGCAAAAAGTTCAATTTGGTACTTTCAAACTGTATGAAGGAGTCTAATGGTAATTTTTTTAATTTTTTGTTCATATATTGGTTAAAATATGTTTGCTTTTTCTAAGGCTATATTATTTGATGAGAAATAAGTTTGGCTGGAGGATATAAGATGGTGACAAAATTTGAAATTTCATTTGGCCTTTTATGTTGCTTTAGTTATTTTTTTGACTCAAGCTTTATGTTAAATATGGACTTCTGTACTCTGTTTTGTTCTTCAATTTTTAGATCAGGAGTTTTTGTTGATTTTTTCGTGGTGGTTTTGTTTGTTTTGAAGCTTGTACACTGGAAACAGGAAATTTTTGTGCTTCTTCGGATGGAAATTGGTTTTTGAAGGTACAACATGTTTATCTGGGCCCTTAAAATTGACTGTATGAAAATTTACCTTTATTATTATGATGGGTTTGGTTTTTCCATTTCTGGAAGTAAAAGGAACTCGGTCTTTGAGCATGATCTTATAAGGTTTGTCGTAATTGCAGGCAAAGGGAAAAGAGGTTGCTTCAGGCTTAAATGAACGGTGTATATTTCTTGTTGGTTAGTTTTTATTTTTTTTAATTTTTATTTTTTTTATCTACTGAATCTTCTTGTTGAGTTTTTCTATGATTACTTGTAACTGAACTCCATGGAAGGTGGAATTCAGGAATGATGGGGTCAGGTAAAACAACAGTCGGCAAGGTTTTGTCAGAAGCACTTGGGTATTCTTTTGTTGACAGGTTAGTGTCTTGACTTTTTCAGTTTGTCTTTTATGAAGAGGGACACCTTCAAGGTCACCCTTTGCATCAGGGATCATCTTACAATAGTAATATCTCTACCTGTTGATGGGCTGAACTTATCAATCAATGGAATTCGATTTATCATTATTTTGTTGACCAGGATGGGCCCTGTTGAATCCACTTCCTGATTTCAAGTTCTCATATTCCCTTCATAGAGTATAAGCCTCCACTATTTGTCACCAATATAGCATCGGAATCTGCTAAGTGTTATGATTTGTAGATAGATTAATTTGTGTCAATTACATTAAGAAACTAAAACGGTAGTAAAATAGATTTGTTCTTGTGCTTATCCTATATGCTCAAATGGATACTCAAGCTAGATGCTGTGATAATATACATGTAGGTGCTAAATTTATCCATATACAAATACTTGAGACTTACTTAGCAGGGATTTTGTTTCAAATTTTAATAACATAGATATTTGTTGTTTATGGGGTTCCAGTGATAAGTATGTGGAGCAAGTTGTGGGTGCAGCTTCTGTGACTGAAATATTTAATGAGTGGGGCGAGGCTTACTTCAGAGATAATGAGGTCTGTCTAAAAAGAACAGACTTATGGCAGTTGCTGTATCCTCTCCTATTTTCTCTCTGTTTCTCTTTGCTTTTTCTCATTTTCCAAATGAGTTCTACCTGCAATTTGCTATCAGTTCTGTAGCAACTTTCTTAACAAACCTTCTTCTACTTGACAATCAGGAGCTTTTCAGTTAATACATTTTTTGTTTTTTTGAGCATAATATTTCTTTATCCGTCAAGCCTTCATTATTTACTCAATATTAAATATATAATGGTTTTATAGAACATGTTTAGCTGTATTAATTGTCTGGACCAGTTGATGTTCCATATCAGCATCACACTCATAAGCATATGTCAAATTGTCAATTTATTTTAAAATATCAGTCAACATGCTCATGCCCGATGAGCTAGATAATTTGACTATCAATAGATTTAGTTGTTTTATTTAATTTGAAGATCAGGACTTTGATACTATGTCTACTAGATTCAGTGGAAAAAGAAAGTAATGGTTTCTAGTTAGTGGAAAAAGAAAGTAATGGTTTCTCGTTTACATTACAGAGTAAGGCATTGCGGACATTGTCCTTGATGCCCCAGCAAGTTGTTGCTACCGGTGGTGGTGCTGTGATTCGTCCGGTCAACTGGTACAGTGTGCTCATGGATGTAAAACTTTGCAATTTTCTTATTACATATATTAATCTGTGTAATATTATCTTAATCATTCGCATAAATGAACTCTTGAAGCTGGACTGAAATATGAAATAAGCTGCGTGACTATTTTTTTAAATTCAGGATATACATGAAGCAGGGAATCACTGTCTATCTGGATGTACCTCTGGATGCCTTGGCAAGGAGAATTGCTGCTGTCGGAACTGATTCTCGCCCTCTTTTGCATTTTGATTCAGGAGATCCTTATACAAAGGTGGCATAGATTCTTCCATTTTGAATATCGTCACAGCAGCTTCCCATTTACATCTGATAACACTAAGACGAGGATCCAAAAAGCTGTTATTGGTTTTGACACTCTTTTGAACTTCCTGCAGGCATTTATGGGTTTGTTCACTATTTCTAAAAAGAGATCCGAGTGGTATTCCAATGCTGATGTTACTGTATCGCTTCTAGGTATGTTCCTGTCTATTGCGTCTCCTCTTACTTTTTAATTATTTGAGTGGCTTCAAAAGAGACTATTCTCATGATTGTCTTGCAATGACATATTTAGCCGGGTGCACATAGTGAGAAATATGCATGTACGATTAGGCTATTGAGTCATGTGCCTTTTATGCCTCAACTAGAGTGCCTTGCAGAACCGCATATCGTCTGTGTGTTTTTGTATACCTTCACACTTTTGTCCCTAGTCTCTCGCTAATCAAGAAGTGAATCTGTTCTTAAATTATATTTCCTGGCAATTCATACAAGGGGAGCAACTTCGCAACCTCTCATTGTGCCTTATGCACATTTTTGTTTCGGAAAAGGAGCAGAATCTTGGATCTACACCTATTAATTATCTGAATTCCGATGTGAAATAATGAATGTCCCTAAGCATACAGTTTAGAACCCTTTAACCACACGACTATTACATATTTGAAGCCTCTGAATTCATCCTTGAACGTTGAGGATTTCTTCTTGGTTTTAGATGTGGCAGACAGCTTGGGTCTTGAAGACGTGTCAGATCTCACGCCTGCAGCAATAGCAGTCGAGGTTATGCTACTTTATCTTTGCTTGAATTTGAATACAAAGGAAAACAAATAAAATGTGATTTATGAAAGATTATTTTCCTAATTTTGATCTTGAATTTTGGCAGGTCCTTGTACAAACTGAGAAGTACATATGGAGCAGAAACAACAGGTCCAACCGAATTTTCCCTTCAAACTAATTTACTTGTTTTAGTTTCCCAAAAGGTTATTATATTTATTATATGTGCAATTATAGAGGTGGTTCTCTTTAAGATGATGATTATTGTACAGAAGAATATAAATAATGACAGTCAATATTGTTGTTTTATTATGAATTATGACTGACATATATTTCAAAATTCATTTTATTGTATCTTGTAACCTTCAAAAAGCCAAGGGTTAAAATAGAAACTCTAGTTCAGCAATGGGAATTTTATTTTATTTTTCAAATTCAAGCAAAGATAAAGTATGTCATGGTATAAACAGATTAGGAAATAATGGAGTGTACATATGATAGTTTAAATATGTAATGTTCATGAATTCAAACCGTTATCTATGTTTTAAAACCCGGTTTGGCTCAACCCGATCAGTTGAATCGGTTTAACCAGGACCTAGGGCTTCATTGGGTTGGGTTATCAATTTTCTTATTCATCGAAAATTCTAAAAATTAGGATGACGATCGGCATACAATTGAAGAGCAAGGGTCGGTGAGTGCAATGATCGCAATAGAGATGATTTTTGATGAGTGAATCGATCGTAAATCGCAAAAATAAATCATCATTTTTATCCATATAAAGTTTGGGAGGATTGTTTTTATCCTTTATACGGATAAAAACAATGATTTATATGGATAAAAATAAATCACGAATGGGGCAAGGGTTGAGATAGATTTTAGTCAGGATATTAAGGAAAGTGTTTTCGTAATCTTGGAGAGTGTTGTCATTGCTAGAAATAAGTCTTATTTGTCGATGTTGATGGTGACTTTTAAGGTGTTTTTGCAAAATTTCAAACCTACATAGACTTGTATAATTTTTAGTGTTTTTGTTGGATTTTAAATTTTTGGACACCGGTTTACCCCACCGGTTAAACCGGTCAACCCGAAACTGATGGCCTTACCGGGTCCCTTAACAGCCTGGGTTTTAAAACATTAACTGCAATACTAAAGTGTATTTAATGCCTATACTATTCCGCGGTATTAAGCAATAAGCAACCTTCTCATTTTTTATTTTCTAAAATAAACACAAATACTAAGACAATCTCAAATGGTATATCAGTGAAAGTATCGAAATGGTATTTTTGTTTTGAAAAATGAATTTGAAAATGAAAATAATAAGTTTGATTTTGCAATCTCAAAATTTAAATAATTTGCAAATAGTATATGAGGATAAAAACAGAGAAAACACGTAATCATCATTTTCGTATGATACAATAACATAAAACTGATTAAATAAGAGAAAAAAGGGAAAATAAAAATCTTACAGATGTTTTCCCAGTATTTTTACTTTTGCCTTGCACATGGATCAAGCCTATTCCCCATTTACCGCTCTCTAAAACTATTAGAGAAGTCCTAATAACTCCAATTGGAAGATGCAAACAGAAAAGATCAGCAGAATTTTTTTTTAAGCCATTTCAAATAATATGTGAGTGTGGCTACATATTAAACCCATCAAAATTCATCCTGCATGTCACAAATCCTACTTAAATGTGGTTTACGATTAAGTAAACCTACCAAGTTAATAGAGACAATTTGGGAAATGGTATTGCCAACCTCCTATCGTAGAAACATCCTCCGGATAGTCCGAGCAGCGACACGGGAAGCCAACTTTCCAGCAAGATCAGCGGGCAGGCTAAGTAACTGTTGTTGCATCTCTGGTGAGAGCTGCCAGAGATTATAATGAGGGAGATGAAGTCGATGAATATTTTATAATGTAAATGCAAAGAAAAATCCATTTAGAAGTGGGATCTGTACAATAATTTTATCGGGGGAGATATAACTTCAAGACATCGACAAGCAGCTTATTTGAAAATTGAATGAAATAAAGAAGCATGTTATTAAGGCTTATTGATACTGCAGGTTATTAAGATATTTAATGATCAATGAGAAGAAGAAAACATACGAAGAAGTCAAAATAAAGTGAAATATTTTCGGATATCATATCAACATATTGTTTGGCAGAATGAGAAGTCTTCCCTTGAACAACACAAATTGTGTAAGAAGATGAGCAAAATTGCATAGCAACTTATAGGAAAGCACTTCCAAGTCGCTCAATTAAAAACAACTTACTACCGTACCCACCAACCAAATCAAATGGCATAATCACTGGATGAATGTATTTAAATTGTCTATTTGATCTTCAATAATTTAAATATCAACCTCCATAAGGCTATGTGAAGTTTATATAAATCCATGCACAAATCAGTCCACATCAAAGTAGTTACCAATTTCCATCTGGAGGCAACAATTGAAATCATTGTTTTTATCCATATAAAGTTTGGTCTATCTATTTATGAGGTAGGACACAGTAGCCTTTATTTTCTTCTTTTGTTTTACTTACCATGACACAGAAAGGTACTATAAGTGCTTCCAACAAACTTTTCTTCTTTTTTTCGAAACCAATGGCCATGCTACAACATTAGGGTTAGCACACGCACAAGATGTGATTATGTGTAACATGTGCATATGCATCTGCGTGAAGATATATAGGTGCACATGGGAGGGTGATATGTTTATGAGTACAAATATATGTTTTACAAGAAGAATCATGCTGCATAAACATGCATGTGCATAATTCATAAATGTCATACCTCAGGAATAACAGAAAGAACAGGTAAAATCTCTTGAATAGAGGGAAGTTGATAGAAGGTGAGAAATGCTTCTTCCATGAATGTGCCTTGATTCTTGTATGGGCTAAGCTCTTTAACTTCCTGTAGGAATAAAAATTAGCTCGTTAATTGCAACATAGGAGCCATTCGGTCGTAAACTTCATTTGAGACATAAGAATACTCTCCCATTTCTATGATCAGTCCGACTTCTATTCATTTCCTGCAATAACCGACTGTATGCAACTAATCTCAATTCATTTACTCGACATTTGTATGATTAAAATAGGCTTATAAGATTTCCTTAATCAGAACACTGTTAATAATCTCATTTCCTTGGAGTTGTCTTTTTTAAGCATTAGAAGATGATCTTTTCTTTAAGGTAATAGATAATTATTAACTTTTCCATTGAAATTTGTTTATAAAAGATAAAAATAGGTGAAGAATAAGAAATCATAAACAACAAATATGTGAATTTAAGATCTAACTAGAATTATTCATATTATTGAGAAACGATAAATTCGAAAAGCTTAAGCTCACAAAAAGTTACACCACAGTATATTTTATGCTAATACAGCCACTCATAGCGTGACAGAATACCGAGAGCAAAGGGTAAAGCACCTATGATCTTGACCTAAATTGCCTTAAAAGTATATAATCAGAGGCAGTGTGTTTCTAGTGACAAGCAGGTTTAAAACAAATATTCTTGAATCTACTTTGACACCTACAACAATCCCATTGACTACAGACATCATGCAATTACAAATAGAACTCCATCTTCAATAAAATAAAATAAAAAAATTAAAATTCTTTATGCAGTTGGGATTATAAAACCTTTTCTGACAAAAAAAAAAAAAAAAAAAAAAAAAAAACTTGAAATGGAATAAAAAATGATTTTATAGACTAAATATTAAAAGCCAGTAAGACTTTTAACTAATGCCTTTCTGAAACACCGTCAGCCCCAAAAACTTTGAGTAGATAAGAAGGGAATAACAACAGCATCTAAATTCTAACATGACCCCTCACATATGACAACCTAGTTATTCAACTTGATGAACTCAAAATAGTCCTAACAGTATTTTCAGAATCAGAAGATCAAAACATAAGTACTTATACAACGTGACTCTAATACCACATCAAAACACCATTAATCTCAAAATTAAGTTGATTGGAAAGGGCCCAAAAACTCTAACAAGATCCGACTTAGTTCGGTGTTAAACTTAGATGAAACCTATTTTGTAGAATCATCATTCTTAAAAAAGCTCTACCAAATTGACGGAAGCATTAAATAGAAGAATTTTAATAACGGTTAGTGTTTTATACCAGCAAACAAATTGATATTTCCATCAGCTATACGCCTTATCTGCTTCAGGATTACAAATTTTAAGAAAATCAAGCCCATATGAGTCAGATATGTGGGAGTTTGTTTCCTCTTTTTTATTTAGTTGAACAATATCACAATATACTTTCAACATGTGAAATAAGCAGACTCTTACCACCATGGGACCTTCACTTCTTTGAAATCCTGACAATAATAACATAAGTCGACGCAAGGTTCTCAAGTTGATCAAGTCTTCTTCAGTCAGTGAAGAGACTGAAGTGGAAGCAGCAAAGGGTATAGGTGCAGGCATTGCTGAAGTTAACGAATCCAGGGTTGCTAGCCCAAGTGCATCCAAACCCTGTATCATTTGCAGAAAGCAATTTGAGATGATAACTAAGATCATGATTACATGAAAGATAACAATATAATGTAGGAAATTCAAGGTGAACTGGTAATTGAAACACTAAAGTCAGCTTACTTGTGCTAACCCAATGTGCATGTTCAAGGGAGAACGTGATCCTACCTTATATATATATATATAATTCATCAGAGACAAAGTTGATAAAGTGCACAAAATGTACCTTAGCAAATTCTTGAAGAAGTATTTCTCTCACAAAAGCCCCCTGCCAATACTCGAGTTAGAGAAAGTAGAAAAAAGAAGGGAGCCTTTAGTAGGTCAGATAGTCATGCCATAAACAAATTTGACACTACCTTCTCAGTTAATGTGAAAGAAAGGACTTGCTTAATAATCGCTCTGGAATCTGTATCTTCTACTTGCTTCTTAACCAAGGCCTTCTCTGTTCGGGCACGAAGAGACTGCCATAAAAATGATACAAGGTTCTCAATAAAAAAGGTAAATGAGACAGGAAAATCAAAAGGAGGCAAATGGGGGGAGGGGGGAAGAAAATGGTATTCAGGTGTGGCCAGATCAATGGTAGAATCAATGACAACTATGACCAAATGCCCACAATAAATTGGATGGCTGTGAATAATTCTTTACCATTAATAAGCTTAAATATATGGCATTGTTCAAAACTTCAATAACAACCTTTTTGTGGAAATAACTATCAGGGGAGGTAAACAAAATAGAAATGAATTAACATATATTCAATTTGAATAGGTGTATTTTACCTCTTGTAGAAGAGACTCCAAACGATCAATTCTGAAAACACCTTCCTAAAAAGAGACAAGCTTGGAATCAGGAAATTTTATAAATAGTATACAATTTCAAACTTATTAACTACAAGAAAAAGAAGTTCAAGAAGCTGTTAGTAGTTCTACCTCGTAAAGAAGAGTTTCCAATGAAGACCTAAGCTGGGGAGAGCTGTCAGTTAATACTTTTCTAGCAATCCAAGGGTATGTGCTACCCAAAACTTTGTAATTTGGGTCGAAACTGATAGCAATTCCCTCCAACACGGCAAGACTGAGAGGGAGAAAAGGAGTGAATTATTTTTATAAAATATAGTAGATAATGCACAATAGAGAAACACCTAAAAGCCACAATAACTCTACAGAACTATCTATATCCCTCAAGAAACATTATTAAACGTAATGTATAGCAGTTAGTAAAGTATGAGTACCTCCGAATGACAAGAGAAAAATACGAAGGTATTTGAAATTTGAACTTATACCTGCAAAGGAAATGTAAACAACAAAAGTGTTATCTCATTTGAAACAAAATGGGAATATTTTCAACAGTAACATAAATGCTACAATAGATAACATCACACACACACATACACACAAGTAAGAATGAAAAAATCTGCCTTAATTTTCTTTGCTCCCTCATACTTTCTTTCTTTAATACCCACCCACTCTAAGACTAGCAGTACCATGAAAGTAAAAATTCTTCAAAATGCACCCAAAGAAGAAAAGTATGTCTAGGCACAAAACTGAAAGCATGCTTATTTGTATGAAAAATAAATAAATAACTGTGGTCAAGAATCATGCGACAAAACTAAGAAATCTGACATAAAGAGTTTCTGAACCCTTCAAACGAACCTAGGTCTACATATAGACTCGTCATGATACATAACACTTTCTACAGAGTACATGCTACAAAGTTGACGACACTTGTCACATGTCACAATGATAAGGTCTTAGTAGCATGCTATTGTTTGTGCTCATGATCTAGACTGAGGATCAACTATAGATTTCATAACTCTGTATTTTGACTGATTAGAATGTAAAAATGGATTGTGAACCAACTTCATCATTCTCTTTATTCTTTGGCTATTATTTTCTTAATTTATAGAGACACCATAGATTTTAAGGATATAGATTAAGTGTGAGAACAATGTTGGTCGGACGCAGAAGCTTTTTGATTTTGCAGACACATAACTTGGTAGTTGTGCCTATTTTTTCTCCTATCTTTTATAAATTTTTATCATGCTCCTAATTAGATCTTCTTTGGTCAATCTTTTCAATTTTTTCTCATGTGCTTCACCTGTTCAATTCCTGCAAAAATTCTCTTTAATACCAAACATATAAATGTAAGGAAAACACATATCCCTCTAGACGAATTTAAAATCAGGCATCACTAAACCATGGAATTAATGTGCTGTAAAGATTTATTACAATTTTACATGTTACTTAATCTTGCCAAAAAAAAAAAAAAAGGGAATGGAAACACCTTACATGGTAGTCCCTAAGTTTCCCAAAAGATCCCCAAAGCTTATATTTCGGACTCCTTTGGCAACAGCATTTTGGAAGACACCTAAAGACAAACAAATTGGATGATGTCAACAAAACTAGTTAATACAACTCGGGGACATAAGTTAGGGACTATAAAATGCTATAAATGCAACTACTGNAATTAGATCTTCTTTGGTCAATCTTTTCAATTTTTTCTCATGTGCTTCACCTGTTCAATTCCTGCAAAAATTCTCTTTAATACCAAACATATAAATGTAAGGAAAACACATATCCCTCTAGACGAATTTAAAATCAGGCATCACTAAACCATGGAATTAATGTGCTGTAAAGATTTATTACAATTTTACATGTTACTTAATCTTGCCAAAAAAAAAAAAAAAAAGGGAATGGAAACACCTTACATGGTAGTCCCTAAGTTTCCCAAAAGATCCCCAAAGCTTATATTTCGGACTCCTTTGGCAACAGCATTTTGGAAGACACCTAAAGACAAACAAATTGGATGATGTCAACAAAACTAGTTAATACAACTCGGGGACATAAGTTAGGGACTATAAAATGCTATAAATGCAACTACTGCAAACCCCTGTCCCATGCAGACATAAAGAGCATACCTGTTAGAGCTATTGTAACAGCCTCTTTCTCTGCAGTTGGTGGAAGAAGTCTGTGGGATTTAAAAAAGCTTTATTAGTATCAGCAGGAATAATTTATTTAGTAGACCGGAAGAGATGGATAGAATCTAATACCCAAGAGTAACAAAATCTTTGGCCAATGCATCAAAATCACGGTTTACAAGATGGAGACAAGCTTCGATAAATCCAGTGCGGAGTTCTTGTTTAAATTCGCCCATCATGCCAAAATCTGGTGGCGAAAGATACTAAAAGTTAATTCTGCACCATATATACCTTCTATTAATACATGACAGGTAATTCAGTTGACACAAAATGGACAAAAAGATATGGCTCATTGACAAATCCAAGACAATGACCCCCAAGTAATGTAAGGTAGTAGGCAGTGGTAACAATGGGAAAGGAGTGAAAATTCTGTCTTATTTTTCGAGAGTTCGGGAAAATAATAAAGCTAACAAAGATTTAACTGAAGCTTTCAATTCTAGTAAATTATCTGATTGGGTTTCCATAAATGATGCTTTGTTTGTTTTGACAAGGAACTAACCTATACTCTAAAGAAATAATGTGAATTCCTTTGTAATTAATTATTATTCCTCATGTTCTTAAACTGTGCCCCTTCCTACACGATTATCGTTTGTTAATGAAATTGATGTTGGTTCACAGACAAAATACCAAAATGAAAGTTCTACAATCTGCCTTCACAATCACAACGTTTGCAGATACCAAGAACTGTATCAAAGTACTCTATCACTAGAATTAGTGTCCCGCAGAAAATATTTTTTTTGAAGGTGGTAGAATGGAAGTTAAACTAATACAATATGAAATGGACAAAAGAGCCTGGTATTATTTTATTATCAATTTTTTTGCCAAAAAATTGAAAGACAAGCCTGGTTAAAATTTTCATATTTTAAAAGAATACCTATATAAGCCAGTTTCCCATCATTTGTACGAAGAAGATTTCCAGGGTGTGGATCAGCATGATAGAACCCATATTCCAGGAGTTGGTTGAATGAGCAGTACACTCCTACCTACACGGCAGCAGGAACAAAAATATTTACTTTTAACTATTGAGCCAAACAAAATAGTTTACTGAATTTTCAAGAAAAACATAAACGTTTCTAGTTTAAGAAATTACCTCAATTAAGTAAAGATCCTTAACCTCATACAACTTTTTTCCCTACAATAACAAAAATTGAGAAGACATAAGCAAAAAATCTTCAGGATAAATATAATTTCAAGAAGCCTATTTCAGAGGGGGAAAAAAAAAAGATTGCACTGGCCAATCCTATGTATATCGAAGGCCAACTTGAGTCATATGGGCAATAATATTCTTCATTTGAACTCTTAAAACTCCAAACAAGAAACCAAATTACTTTGTAACTATAAATCTTTATGTTAAGCAATTACTTGACCTAGAGCTTCAATCGTTTAATAATAACTACAGAAAATATTTAAACTTTAATATACCCCTTCGTTTGGAAAGACACACAAATTGAACATAATCACAGCCACAAATACAGCTATAACCAAAACAAGTGAACAAGTACTAAGAAAAACTAATTATTAAATTACTTATTAAAATAGAGGGATTCTACCGTAAGAGTACTTAGTCAAACCGTGTTAAGTTAATAGGTAAGAGCCAAATGATAGTATTTAAGCTCTAACATTTTAAATATGTAATATGACAATAATTTGGTCAAAAGTACTTTCTACCGATCTATACTAAAATATACATGTTAAATATTGGTTAAATGAAGGAAAAAGGAAGGTAGGGTGGAGAGGGCATATATGTTGGATGTATGACCAGTTATCAACATTGGATTAGAGAAATGTAGTTGAGGAAGTTATGTTCTTCTTTTCGATATGAACACTAAGACCATCTCCAATGCAATCGATATGAACACTAAGACCATCTCCAACCCATTGCATCAAATTGGTGCAAGTTTCACACCAAATTGGTGTGATTTTTGATGTGAAATAATATTGCATCTCCAACCTATCGCACCAAATATTACACCAAAAAGAATATTCTTTTTCTTTTTCTTTTATTGTAATAATCAACAATTAATCTATTTCACTAATTATTTTTGTATATATTAATTAAATATTGGGAATGATATTTTTATTAAATAATAATTACTTTAAAAATTATACTAATTTAATAAAATTAAGCATTTATTTAATCAAATAAACATGACATTTAATATAGAAAAACATTACAAATGAAAAAATTAGCTTTGGCAGAATATTGAGAAGATAACAAAATTTTATTCAAGGATTTGAATTCCATAACCGATCCAAGCCTACGTGAGTTTTTTCAAAATGAACAATCAAGAATTATGTAAAAAAGAGCTCAACAACAAAGCCAAGGATCTCAAAATAACTCTAGTTCTTTCCAATATTTTGATGATCTTAGAGGATCTGGAACTAATATATCGAAATACTAAATTGTTATTTTAGTTTATGTTGTATTTATTTTTAATTTTAGTGTTTTTAAATTAGTGTTAATTTTTATTTTGAGTTATGGTAGTTTAATATTTGCATTGAATAAAGTTTTGTTTTTAATTTTTCATCATTTTTTGAATTATATAATTATTATGAATTTATTATTATAAATATTAATATAAATAATAATCAAATTACTTCATACAAATAAAAAAAAATATTTTTTTATTGTTTGAACAATGCCACGTCAAATTGGTGTACATGAACAGTGCTACACCAAATTTGGCGTGGCGTTGGGTTGGAGGTAAGTTTCACGCTATTTTGGTGTTTTTACACCACAATAGCCTGGGTTGGAGATGCCTTAAGTACTCATGTGAATATTCATTCACAAAATTGACCAATCAAAAATAGAGGAACCAAGGCGAGCACGCCAGGCATGCCTCTAAACCTTACCCAATTGACCCAATCTCCTTCTAGAACTGGTCACTTTTGTAAACATTTAAAGATAGTGGTGAGTTTAAATCATTAATTTCCTACCTAGGTCCTTTTCCAGTGGGTTAAAAAAGAGGTAGTTGAGTATGCTGACTATCGTGTTAACAAAATGATTTGACCAATTATCAATGTGAAAACAGTCTGCTTAGAATTTCATCTCAAGAAAAATAAACCTATTGCAAGCTATAATAATAGATAACCCTTTCTAAAAAAGAAACTTGTACCCCTTTCTCTTTCATTAACGATAAATTCTAACAATAGTACATACTAGTTGTTGCCTATCATGATGAAAGAATATACCAAAAAAAAAAACATATGGCCAAGTGAACGTTTGAGACTTTCTTCAAAGGATTCAGTTAAAACACATACTGAAACAATAAAAAAAAAAAAAAAAAAAAAAAAAAAAAAAAAAAAAAAAACAACAAAAAAAAAATTCTTGAAATAGAAATACCTCAATCCATTCCGTAAGAAGGACCTTGCGAGTTGTTTGCTCTACGTACATTTGAGGAACCAAAACATCTGGTATTTCACCGTACAGTTGTCTGTTTAAGTATGCAGCAGACACATTTAGAGCATCATCAACACAAATAAGACTTAAAATTCAGTAAAATAATTAGTCATACCAACCAGAATAGGTAATACATTACAGTAAAGTAAACATTTGACTTAAGCTGGCTTAAAGCTTTAGTTGATAGGTAAGCATCTCAGGATAGTATTAGGCTTTAACACACCCATGTGGACCATCATCCACAATAGATTATAAAAAATTAGGTGCAGCAAAAAGTGGAAGAATGATACAATCATGAGCATGGTTGATAATTATAACACTTTTTCAATATTACCCCCATCCACATATTTGGTAGCTAACTAATATTTAGTTGGCAAGTATTTGAAGAAAAAGATAAAAAATGCAGAGTAAAAGGAAAGAAACCATACAAAATTTTACATAAAATTGGTTGAACAGTAGGCTGATGAGAACCTGGATTCTTACTTAATACTCAAAACAACCCAAACAAAGTATAATATACCCAAACAGAGCAATATTTCAACATAGATCGGTTACAATTGAGAAGGCAATTAATATGAATATACCTTTATATTGATTGGTAAAGAAATGAATAACAATGATAATGGTGAACAAATAAGAACATAACAATGAATGTAAAGATAACCTAGCACTTCGAGGAGCTAAGGACCTCCCTTCCAAAATCCCACTAAAATATTCTCTACTCTTTACAATTTGAATCCCTCAATTTATACTCACAAACGTCACACCAATTCCATTGTTATTGCCACATGGATAACCAACTCTCACTTGCACACCATGCTAATTGCCCTTATTATTCCCTTTGTATAGGCACATAGAGATGAATAAAGAAGCAAATCATCAAGATCTATGTGGACTCATAAATCACTTAAAGATCGTTCAATCAACATCTATAATTTATCAAGTCCTAATATAACATCTAAGGGAAAAACCCCATCAAGTTTCAGAAGGAAGAATTCATCAATTTCAAGTCATCAATCAGTAAAGCTGTTACCTCTTCAAATTAAACCCCATGCTCACATGCTTTACATATCACCAACTTCTTTCTTTAAGCAACATAGCTAAATACATAGGCATTCAATAAAGTAACGGGTTGTAAAAGTAATAAATCACTGTGAAAACACAAATAAAAGGAAAGCTTTTAGTTATGAAAATTCAAGCCACAGGCTACCTGAAATCTTGCTCTTACCTAAATTTGAGTCCATTATTCGCTTCTTTCTTATAGTCAAGCTCCTGCATTCAATGTGATTACCTGTATTCAATATGAAGCTCTAAGAATATTCCTCAAACACGGTCATTTAATAAACTAATTTAAGGGAAGTTTTGACACATTCTGTGACCAAGGGATACACAAGGCTAGAAATTCCTAAATGGCCAAATTAATAAGTTTCGCTTTTGTTTTTAATAAAAAAAAAAAATGCACGTCAAATAATACTAAACAATCTACAACAAAAACCTACATAGAGGATTATGAGGCATTCTTTTTCTACAAACAGAATTACGAAAGGTTTTTCTCTTAACTCGGATGGACAAATAGGGTTTGGGAACAAAAATTTGGTCTCATCATTCCAATCCATCNACCAACTCTCACTTGCACACCATGCTAATTGCCCTTATTATTCCCTTTGTATAGGCACATAGAGATGAATAAAGAAGCAAATCATCAAGATCTATGTGGACTCATAAATCACTTAAAGATCGTTCAATCAACATCTATAATTTATCAAGTCCTAATATAACATCTAAGGGAAAAACCCCATCAAGTTTCAGAAGGAAGAATTCATCAATTTCAAGTCATCAATCAGTAAAGCTGTTACCTCTTCAAATTAAACCCCATGCTCACATGCTTTACATATCACCAACTTCTTTCTTTAAGCAACATAGCTAAATACATAGGCATTCAATAAAGTAACGGGTTGTAAAAGTAATAAATCACTGTGAAAACACAAATAAAAGGAAAGCTTTTAGTTATGAAAATTCAAGCCACAGGCTACCTGAAATCTTGCTCTTACCTAAATTTGAGTCCATTATTCGCTTCTTTCTTATAGTCAAGCTCCTGCATTCAATGTGATTACCTGTATTCAATATGAAGCTCTAAGAATATTCCTCAAACACGGTCATTTAATAAACTAATTTAAGGGAAGTTTTGACACATTCTGTGACCAAGGGATACACAAGGCTAGAAATTCCTAAATGGCCAAATTAATAAGTTTCGCTTTTGTTTTTAATAAAAAAAAAAAATGCACGTCAAATAATACTAAACAATCTACAACAAAAACCTACATAGAGGATTATGAGGCATTCTTTTTCTACAAACAGAATTACGAAAGGTTTTTCTCTTAACTCGGATGGACAAATAGGGTTTGGGAACAAAAATTTGGTCTCATCATTCCAATCCATCAAGCCAAGAATTCAATCACCACCACGTTATACTCAAATAAATCAAAAGCAATTTTGAAAAACCTTCCCTCATGAGGCCCAATATATGTATTACTGGAAAATGAAATCACCAAGCTGCTAAATAAACCAAAAGAAAACAGTTCAATTTTGACTAAGTAGTACCCAGAGACAAAATAAAGATAGGTTGTGTCAAATTTCACTCAGATGATGCAAGAGACAAATAAAATAATAAGCAACATTGACATTATCAAGCAACCAGTGAGAAACATAATAAAATGAAAGAAAAGTTAATATTTTAAAGTCAAAGGGCGAAAGCTCATCAATGGGATGGAAATAACAAATGTTGGAATCATCATCATTAGGGACAAAAAAGAAGTTCATAAATACTGCTCTATGGTGTTATTCAGTTTAAGCCTATGTTGCAGCATATATCAATGTAAAACACAGATATTGGCATATACCCGGAAAAGACTTGATGCCCATTCGTCAACAACTGCCTGCAAATTGAATATCATGTTTTTCAGTACCTACCAGCCAATATGATAATAAAGAAAATACCACGTGAAATACAAGGTTTTAATGCAAGAACCCCATTCCACAATTTCAGCTTAACTCGAAATATGAGGCATCACACATCCAAGTACATTGCAGCATTACCTGAAGATCAGTGTTTAGTTTTCCAGCTCTCCTAACCAACCCGGCCATAAAATGCAAGATTAATATGTCTAAGGAAATTGCAGCTTGAACTCCAGGCCTTTGCACTTTTACTGCAACAACCTGTCCACTATGGCGAAGCCTAGCTTGATAAACCTATTTCAGACAGAGAGACAACAATGAACATCAATTTTTACCAAGAAATACTTGATAAATGACATAGAACTTTACAAAAGAAAAAAAAAAAACACAATTTTAGTTCCAGATCAAGACCTGTCCGAGGGATGCTGCTGCTACAGGCTCTGGCGAAATTTCCGAGAACATTTCATCTATTGATAATCCAAGTTCTTGCTCTATTGTATTGAACGCAATGTCAGTGGAAAATGGAGTTATTCGATCTTGCAGCACTGAGAGTTCATCCAAATATGATGGTGGTATCAAATCCTACAAAAAAGATAAAGGGATTTATGAACTTCAATGAGACATAAAAACCGCAACATACAACTTCATCAAATATGACATAAAAACCACTACATACAACTAATCAAATATGATGCAGAAATCACGTAATAGGGCAATCCCAATGGGAAGAACTGAGACAGGTTTGAAACTTTGGTGTTTTCATTTTAATATCCAAAGAATACAGAATGGTCTTAAAAGCTAAACAAAGCATGCCAGTGGCTAAAATACAGCAGGGAACATGAACATTTTCTGTCAAACCTAAGCCTAAGCCAAGTGCAGGCTTATTTTTTTGTTTCAGGCTGGCTATGGCCTTGGCACAACCTAGATTAAAATTTCCTGGTCTAGAACAACGGGTTTGCTTATTTATGAGCCTAACCTAGCCAACATGAATTAAAGGAAAATATAAGGGGTAGGCAAGAAGGTTAACATTTATTCAAAGAGATGGTGGTTTTCTCATATTTGAAAGCTTCAATTGACTTCACAACACAATCCGTAAAGGTCATTACATTTGCTACAGAAATAGATATCCTCCCTAGTTCTGGCATGTGCAGAGACTGTATCATGTGTGACCATTTTACTTTATTCTTAAACGATTGTAGAACATTTAATTTGATACATGTAATTCTGATTAGAAAGAGTAAAAAAATGAAGTTCGCTATTTATTTAGCCGCTTTAATGATACTGTAACATTATAGATTTTCTCATAAAAATGACCAAGAGCTAGTTCCAGATGACCACAGGATTTAAGCATGCTGCACCGGCAGAGCTGCTTGAATATAGTTTACCAAAATCATCATATAATCTAGATAGGATACATATCAAAACTCAACCAATGTTTTTGAGGTCACTATGGCAAGAACCTTCATAAATTCCACCCTAACAATAAGCACCTTTGAGCTCATAACTTAAGGGGATGCATAACATAAATTTCATTTTAATTTGATTTCTTGATAAGATTGTATATCAACATTGAGGAAAAAGATTTAGTGATCAATTTAAGGTTCCCATCCAGTAGATTTAGTTTAACATCAAGCATCATGATTCAAAGAATAGCATTTTATTTTTAATAAAGAGAACAATATGGTTAAGAATTAAGGGATTTTTTTGTTGATTAATTGAGCATGCAATGAGGCATGAATTTATTCAGCCTAATTTGAGAAATAAACAAATCATCCAGTTTTTGCAATTCTAATATTTCTTTCAGGTTGAAAGAATAACAACCTCAATATCCCTTTCATTAGTCTTTGCATCCAGTTTATGGAAGAAAGAAATTTTACTTTTTGAATTATTTTTATATTCTAAATCAATTTAATTCAATCCGAATACAGATTTTATCTTAGTTATGATGATAAATTGTAATCATACAAAAATTTATTCACATAATGATATCAAGTAATGAAATTTTTTCAATTAAATAATTTTAATGTATCTTAAGAGTCCTTGGTGATATACTATCATATCATTTGAAGATGCAACGTAGATTCAAAAAGAATTCAATGTAACAACCTATGATCGGATAAGACTATAACACAGCTTAAATTAGATACATTACTGGTAAAAAGCTGTATCCTACACCTATATCCAAATGGCAAACAGATAAAACAACAGGAATGATATTATAGCATGTCATCAATTAGTTAACAAAATATCAACATACGCTACTGAAAAAATATGCTGTATAACTACATAAATGTGCTTTTTTCGGTGAAGAAAACTAATTTCTAGCTTAGGAGACATGAAAACTTACAGCTCGAGATGAAACAGCCTGTGCAATTTTGACGTATGCCTATAAACAGAACCAGCACAAACACTTCTTTTTTAGCAAAATAAAAATCAAAGGAAAGAAAATTACATGAAATTATAAACTTTTCAAAATAAAGGTCTGTGTACTTAGTATATCAAAACTAATTAACTAAAAAAAACAAAAGTTGCCAAATAACATGTGACTTAAAAGCAACTGAAAATAAATTTCTTCTCACAATTAATGTTCAGTATATGTACAAAAGAGAAAACATTATTATTTTTTCACTAATTGGACTGCTAGTTCCCTATTGTCTAGCTCTTATTACTAATACATAGTTCATAGTTTCTTATCCAAAAAAACACTAAGGTGCAGCAATAATGTTGTTCCATGAAGATGCTATTTAACCAAATACTTGATGGACTTACTAAATTTCTTTGACCTCTACGAATATGAGTTCGGATCAATAACAGAATATCTATTTCACCAATTATGAGACCAGTTGTATCAAAGTGCATAAAACCTATCAAGAAAACCTAATAAGCATTGATATTTATAAACAATACATACCGGACCAAGTTCTACCAATAATTTTCGAAGCTCAGCAGCTCTGACCTGAAAGCCAACAAGATGAAACATAAGGAGAAAATCAATGTAAAGAGATGACTAATAAGTATAGAGCTAGCATATTTTTAACTTCAGCATGAGATGCATGAAAGTTAGACTTTGATCAAAATGTATAAACAATCTATATATCTATATAATCCTGAAGCCCACCCTCTCTATTTGATTATCATTTGGACTCCACGTAGGATGACACATATGATCTTAGGAGCTCTATTAATCTATGATTTCCATTTCATTTATTAGTATTAATAGCACATCTTGGGCATCTAAAAATTTAATTAAAAGATGTATAGATTCATGTTAGTCCCTTCACATTCATCTAAATATTAATAAAAATTAAATAATGACATCCCAAAGGTCTTAAGAAAACTTTGTTTATATATAAATTGTTATTTATTAGTATTAATAGTACATATTGTGCATCCAAAGGTCTAATTAAAAGATATATAGATTCATGTTAGTCTCTTCACATTCACTTAAATATTAATAACAATTAAATAGTGGCATTCCAAAGGTCTCAAATAAATTTTGTTTATATGTATAGATTAAATATTCAGTTTTGCATATATTTTGACCTTATGTTAAATAGAATAACTTGAATAAGTATCATTAGTATTTCTCAAATTTATATGGTGTGTTTCTTCTTCTCTTAATGTGCAATATTTCTTCTTTTTTCTTTATGATGATTTTGGTTCAGATTTTGATGGTTTGTTGTGTTGTTGGTTCTTTTTAAGATGGTTGTTTGATTGGTTTGTTTTTGGATTCTCTTTGCTGTTGGTGATGTATGAAAGATTGTAGAGTTCAAAATTTTGCAACTTAAACTGGTTGAGTTTGATAGTGGAGTCATTGAGTTCTGATTGTGAATGTGAATGAATGCGGGTTTTTAATTTTGTGTTGTTTGAATTGATTATGCTTTAGTTATTTGATAAGGTGTTAGTGATTTAGTGAATTGACTTTCTCTTTGTTGCTCCAAAATTTATGTATGTTGATTAGTTAGTGTTGATTTTTAGGGTCCTTGTCATCGTGTTAGGCTTCAGTTCCTGAAGGATCTACATATCAAAGTAAAAAAGTGCATCATTTAGCAATGTAGGTAGACTTAATTCATTGTTTTAGACTTATTATTTGTGTTGGTTAATTATATTTTGCAGATGACTAATGGTGTTATATAGGTTGAGATTTGAATTTAATTCCGTTGGTTCCAGGCATGGGCTATTTGATTGACATACAGGATTTTTAAAGCTTTAAGATTCTGAAGATTTATGTTTTCTGATTTTTCCTTTTAAATTTGTAGCCGTGTATGTGGGAACCCTCGTGGGTTGATCAGGAAGTATGGGCTCATATGCTGCAGACAGTGCTTTTGCAACGCCAAGGAATTTGGATTCATTAAGGTGACAATTTATAAGTATTCTGCTGATGATGTGGTCTATAATTTATGCATCATACTGATTCCTTTTATTCATTGGGGTTGCTCTGATTCTCTGACAATTTATTTGCAGTACCGCTAAATTACCAAGAAGAGTGGTGACTTTTGTTAATATGATAGTGGTTTTGGTGCAAGCATTGTCCCAATAGTGGTTTAAAATATGGAGAAATGCTAAGATGATTTTATGTTTTTAATTGATTTGAAGTTGAGTTTGATGTGATTGTTGAACTAAGAATAATTGTCGTTACTCTTTAACTTGAAAAAGTTATCCGTTTTATATGTTACAATTTATTTTCTTCTGTAGTGGCCATTATCCCTAAAGTAGTGATAAATAATACATTGGTTAAAATGAATGACAAGTTATGCATAGGAGCACAGAGCAACTGAAAGCCAATGAATTTTCTGTAAGCTATTATTTTTTAATTTATTTGTCTAATAAAAACTATGATAGATAAAAAATTAAGTTTTAAAAATATTTTAACAACATACAAAGGATATGATAATTCTACCAACTAAATTAAATGACCTCTCAAGGTTATATGAACATTAACAAACTTCTGAACGTTAACACTTAGAATCTAAGAAAAGCAGATTAAAGAAGTGGATCACTTGCTCATTTCTTTATATAAAATATGTTAGTTTATTTATTATTTTCTTTAATTATCAATTCAATATGAAATCAACTTCAATACAGAAACTATACATTTAAAATACAAAAAAACCAATAATAATGTAAACAAAATATAATAAACATTAATAAATAAAACAAAAGTTGCGATAAGTTAAACACACTATAATATATAAAAAAAAATAAAAAAAATAGAGAATTGTCTAATAAAACAAACATATCCTAGATTTTTGTTTTTCCTCACTTTTATCTCCAGAAAATAATTTTGGTTTTCTAACATTAACTCTTCGAGTTTCTCCAATTCCAACATAATTCAATGCATCTTTCATGAAAAGTCACTGAGTTTCTTGATTTACATACGTGATAATCCCATTGATTTACTTCTACTTTTTAAGCTCCGACTGAAACAAAAACAGTGCCATTAATTTAGTTCTTCTTTGATGCCTTCTACAAAAGCTTTTCCATAAATTTGACAATAACTTCGTACAAAAACTTATGTGATGAATTAATATTGTCTATCTACATAATAACCAAACCTTTTGCAACCCGGTAGCATTAAAAAATTTACTGATTGACATCACTTTGTAATTAAAAATTAGAACATAAAGTTTGAATTTCTAGTATTAATGAGGAAATTAGAAACTGCAAGCATGTTGATTATTAAAACAATGGATAGAATTACTTAGAATTCTGACCTTAAACATTTGATCGGATCGCTCCATGAGTTTATCCACGTACCGAGAGCCGAACCACCACCCGAAACTGGTTCCAACTTGAACGATTCGGCGCAGCAAGATCAGCGGCTTTCTCCGATAAATAGAACCGATTTTTTTCAAATCGTAATCGACTAACGAGTCGGCCTCAGTGGCGCTGAGCTGGAACAAGTAGCTGGATTTCTCGGTGAATGTGTCGACATCGCGAGTGGCGGCCAGTCGCCATGACCTGAACTTAAAAGGCTTGGATTCAGGGGAAAGTTTGAGATTGGAAATGGCGGGAACGGTGGGGATTGGTGAAGGCACAAGGAGTATTGGCATCGGCGGTTGGTGATATTAGAGAAGCTTAAGAAGCGAAACGGCTGTGCAATTGAATGAAATTATGAAAAGGATTCGGATTTGGTGCAAAGAGATTGTATGAAAAATGGAGCGACACGTGTAAGGCAACTGGGGCAGTGTTGCTTTGCGGTGATTTTATTTTGAATTTTTATTGGATTGTGGGTGAGGGTGCGCGGTACGCCAATTCTAAAATTAATTTTAGAACATGATAATTTGGGTTACAGCAATTCTACGTGTACAAACTCGGGATCACAATTTTGTATTCCAAATGACGTGCTAATTTACGCGCCAAGATTAGATTAAATATAAGAAAATTATTCATTTTTCTTATTATCTTAAAAGGTCTGGTCGGGGGTTATGTGAGATTATGGGAGTTAAGTTATCTTATATTAATTTATTATTATATTTGATTGTCAACTAATATAAGATTTCAATAATCTTCAAATACGAATAGTGATTACTGTTGGTAATACTAGAGGCAATTTGATTACCTCTATTTTCTTAGGTATTATAAAATTACTTGTATAATTTTTTTTTTTTGTTACAATTCTATCATTTATTAATAAAATTTTAGGACAATAATGCCTTTATTTTTAAATTTATTTACATGAATTTTGCTTTTACCATTTTACCCAATTAATTAACTTTTTGGACAAAATTAACCTTGAAATCAAAACAAATTTCAGCTTACCCAAGCCACCACCCCCATCGACCTATTGCTGCCTGCCGGTCGCAGCGGGAAGTCGTCGGAAGTCACCTGGAGTCGTCGTGAGTAGCCCACCGTGATTTGGAGACCCTAATATGACCGTTTTTGGCCATATTGATGGTTGAAAATGTCATATTGAGAGCAGATCTGGCCGGAAATGGCCAGATCTATTCTGACCATTTCTTGCCAGATTGATGGGTCTGGTCGTTGGCCTTTATTGGTCAGATCTAGCCTATGGTTAGCTTGTGTGACAACCCCACTATGTAAAGATTATTTATCTTATTCATCATTTATAATTCAAATTATTTATCTTAAATATGTAGAATTTAATTTTCTTCATCATAATTTATGTGATTTATCTTTTAAATGTGAAAAATTTAATAAATTATTTATATATATTACTAATTATAAGATTAATTAATAAGATAATTTGTTTAATCTTAATTATGATACATGTTAGGGTAAGAAATCAAGCATCTAATCCTCGTAAACCCAAGTTATTATATACATTTAATTTTGATGCATATTCTACTTAAACAAAACTCTACCAAACCCCAATTTCCAATTCACAAGTACAATAGTTTGTTTTCCTGGCATATAGTAAAACAACCGAGGCAATAAATATAAATAGCACCAAAGAAGGGTATTCCCAAGAAAGTTAAATGTCCACAAGTATAATGAACATGAAATAAGAACAAATTCCTATTTACATAGTCCACTCCTCAAAACTTTACAACAAATATTGGGAGAACAACATGTTCCCACCCAAGGTTTGATGAAACGATATTTTTCCACCCGTCAAGTTTCAAATGACACTTTTCCACCATTTGTTAGGTTCTGTTAATATTTTCTGTTAATATTTGATTAAGAAGACGAAAATACCCTAAAATATTTTATTTCTTAATTAGTTTATTATAAATTAAAATTTAGTTAATTCAAAATCTTTATTCGATTATTTATTAGTCCAAGTATAAAGATACATTTTTTTCTTTGTTTATTTAATTAATTAGAAATATTGATTTTTTATGTTAATTAGTAAAAATGAAAAACATTATAAATAATAGTGATAAAATATTGATGACATTATAAATAAATATTAAGATTATTTAACTTTAAACAATTTTATAGTATTACTTATAACTTTTTAGGTGAGATCTAACTATTTTTCTTTTTTGAATTTTTAATATTTGACTTTTTGGCTAATTAAAAAATAATAACAAATTTATAAAGTAAAATATCTAAGTGTATTTTTGTTTTTTCAGTAAAATATTAACGGAAAACATAACAAAACCTAACGAAGGGTGGGAAAGTGTCATTTTGAAACTTGATGGGTAGGAAAGTGTTGTTTCGCCAAAGCTTGGGTGGGAAAATGTCGTTCTCTCACAAATATTAGTCACTAATGGAAAAATGTCTAACCACTTGGACAAATTTAAGACCATAGATTAATTATCTTCTTCCCAAAAATGTCATGCAATTTAAAAAATCACAAGTATTTTAATTAACAACCATGCACTATCAAATTAATGCTGATAATCAAGCCATATTATATATATTTGACAAACATATGAATCATCATCATCGTGATCGTCTTTCTATTAAATTACATGTAAGTTGGAAGCAAAAGCCAGTACCATGTGTATTGCTTAATTTTTGTGATTTAATCTAGATTATGGCCAAGTGTAGAGACAACCGTATTAGAATTTAATTATATAAATACAAAGTTTTTATTATTTTTTTATTTGACAGATGACACTGTCAAGTTGTATACGCAAAACACAAGTATATAAAATAATTAAAATATATTTACAATTCAAATAGGATAAAGAGTAAAATGTTTTTCCAAATTATAGAAGTGGTGGTACTTTTTATCCGTCCTTACTTTCCATATTACGCTTCTTTTTTTAAGGGTTTCTTTCAAAGCTTTTATTTTATCATAAACATGGGGAAACAAAACAAGGGGCAGCAATGGATTACAACCTTTGGAAGAACTCCCACACAACATTTAGGCTTGAAAGGTTAGTGTTGTTTTTGGAACCAGTACAACATCGAGGTTTTTATTTTCTTGTGTTTCGTGCATTTTTTTTTTTTTTTTACAAATTGTTTTACTTGCAATTTTCTTTCAAATATCAGTTTTCAAATGTCAGTTTTCTTTTGCAGCTTGCTTTATTTTCTTCTGTATATTATAGTTGTTTATATATAAGACAAAATCTCACAACTTTTAATGTTTTCAGGAATACACTCAATGTTGATATTTATTAAATGTTTGTTTACATATAGGTTTGTTTAATGACATAGACTAAAGAACATATTCCCACTCAAGGTTGAGCCAAATCGCAAGCTAATATGTTTGGTTTCATTTATTCCAAATACCCACCCTTAAATTAACATCATTTTCTTTGTTTTAATAGTAAAGGGGCAAATTGGTCTTTCTCTTTTTTTTTTTTCCTCTTCCCTTCCCACTTCTTTCCCCAGTACACCTCCTCCTCCCATCTTCTTCCTTTTCCCTTTCACTTTCTTCCTTATCTCCGCCTCCTCCTCCCATCTTCTTCTCTTTCCCTCTACACCTCCTCCTCCCCGGTGCCTCCCCAGCGCCTCACCATCCCAACCCACTACCCCCCGACCACCTTGACTCCCCTTTTCGACGTCACCCTTCACCTCAACTGTCGCACTCTGCCAACCTCTTTTCGGCAGCCCCATCACCAAAAATCTTAATCAACCCCACCATTTAACTCATCAAAGAGCCCTCTCCAATAACCCCATGCTTTTCGTCCCCAATTTCTCACCTTTCAACATCAATTTAAGCCCCCTCTCCCTAGGGTTTTTATTTTGTTTTTTGCTTTTGCTTTTGTTTTATGTTTTTTTTTTTCTTATTGAAATTGTGTGATTTTTGGTGGTTGCTGTTGGGTTTGGAATGGGGTGATTTGGCAGACTGTGGTGGTGGTTTGGACACTGTGGTGGTTTGGAATGGGATGTGGTGGTGGTGGTTTGGCCGACTGTGGGATTTGGAATGGGGTATAGTTTGGATGGCTATGGTAGTGGTTTGGGATGGGTTGGTTTGGAATGGGTTGTGGTGGTGGTTTGGCTTGCTTGAGTGGTGCCGTGGTGGTTTGAAATGGGGTGAAGGACAGTTTGGTAATAGCATCCGTCAGAACCCAACAGTCACTAACTGTGTTAATTTAAGGGTGAGTATTTGGAATAAATGAAACTAGTAGTATTAACTTAGGATTTAGCTAAGCCTTAGGTGGGAATATGTCGTTTACTCAATGACATAATCATCCGTAGAAACACATAACCAAACACAAACACCAAGCACATAATATCAATTTTTTAGAAGAATTTGATTTATACTATAAATTAAACTTGGCCATAGGTCAAACCCAATAGGTGGATATAAAATAATGTTGACAAAAAACTCATGACAATAATTGCCTTTGATTACCTGTCCAATATCCTCCGCAATGCCTTTGTTGTTTATTAACTTGATAATGGACTCGGCTTGCTGCTTTAGCTTTCATCCCTTTCCATGTCTGCTGCAATAGATAGTGTCATTAATAGATTCTTAAGATGTAAAGCTCTAGCTTGGAATCATTTAGAATCAAGATGCAAAGTATTCCAAATATCAGTGGATATCCTACATTTCAATTTACTCCAAACACACTCTCGGAAATGGAAGCTAAAAGCCAATTAACAAGAAAAATTATTGTGCGCTTCCATAGAATAGGCAGGGTTCACTATTACTAACCAAATCATCACCTAACTTGAGTTCACCTCTAATTTGCCCTAACTCATTTTCAATGTCTGAATTCGATACAAGTAAAGGAGAAGGACAGGGAACTTTACCATAAGATGATCCTCCAATTCATGTGATCCTACAGCAAAGAGAACCTGTGAGCTCCAGAATTGATAGTTGTTCTTGGGAGCTTTGGACTGATAGTTTGCAAACTTGAAGGTAAACGAGATTCCGCGATTTGCAGATTCCTTGAGCAAATGCGAAGTGGAATGATCGATTGACTCTCTTAGAAGCTCTTCTATGCTTTTAAGAGAGTATGCAGAACCAGAATCAGTTGCCATTGACGTTTAGTCAGTTGCTCTGATACAAGTCAAGAAACGAAAGAAATTGAAAGAGAAGAACTAGTAGGTAAAGCTGATTCAGTAGAGTTTTTCATTAACTGAAGAGAGTTTACAATTTCTTCTGTTATATAAAGAAGAATGAAACGACACCATATAACAATTGTGCCTAATTACAAAAACAGCATAATAGTGTGTTCTATTTACAAAAATTGCCCTTTCAACATTTGGTCAACACTCAATGTTGATATTATTAAATGTTTGTTACATATAGGTTTGTTCA